TTTCTTGGAAGTTCTATTATTGGCGGGCTTGTCAAAATGCACTGCTTGAAGATTCTTCATGTATAGAACAGCCTGTGCAAATTGTCAGGGGCGAGGCGTACGAGTTTCGAGCTAAGCCGTGCGCTTTTTTGAAGGGTATTGTAGTCGATGGTGGGGCTTGTCAATTTGCATCCGTTGAGAGTTTTTCATGTATAGAACGGTCTGTGCAAATTGTCAGGGGCGAGAGTTGCGACCTAAAAACGATTCCAATCCGCGCGCTTTCTGGGGGGAGTCTTGGAGTCGATGGTGGGGCTTGTCAATCTGCACTGCTTGAAGACTTGCGAGGCTTACGAATTTGACCCCAAGCTGTGCTCTTTGTTGAGGCTTTGATGGCCGGCTTATCAAATTGCATTGGTTGAAAATTCTTCATGTATAGAAAGCCTGTGCGAATTGTCAGGGGCAGGTCTTCGACCCCAAAGCCGTGCCTTTTCTGAACGGTGTTATAGTCGATTGGTGAGGCTTGTCAATTTGCACTATATGACAAATCTAAATGTAAAGAACAGCCTATGCAAATTGTCAGGGGCCGGGCTTTGAATCCGAACCGCGCACTTTCTCCGCAAACGGGTTGAATTGCAATCGTGAAGAGCCACTTCTCTACATCTGGGAACGTCTGGTAGTCCTTGCCGGCCCATGCCAACTCTCATCATGCATAACTGCGCACATCCTGACGGTCTAATTGGTCAGCAAGCCAGGAGCATGCAAGGCGCATCAAAGAATGCAGTCGCAAAGAAACACTTGTCCTTGAATGGAGTCGTCGAGCTCCTTGAGGAGCTAGAGATATGGCGGGCTCTATCATGGATGAGCAGATTTCCATCTCCTCAAAGGTGTCGTTCGGACTTAGGGCGATCGAGGCCGGCTCAAACTCACAGATTTTACTTTGGTGCCAGGATGAACTTCGTGACGGCGTCCCGTGTCGAGAAAGAGCCCTCAGGCGTCGTGCTCGTCGCCTCGACCACCCCTGCTGCGAACGCATCTCACCACGAGGCGCTCGCCCGAGGTCAAGTC